CTCCTCTCCATGGACCAAGATTTTGGAACAACACAGGACCCACTCTCTTGTTCAGGCCGATTCCACCCCAAACCATTATTCGTGGACCTACCCATGAGTCTCATTCAATGATACATTGGTCAGAATGACGCTGGCCACAGTTCTCCATTGCCTGTGTCGCCAGTTCTGGTGATGTTGGGCAAACTGTAGACATTCACGTCGATGGCGATGGGTGAGGATAGGTCCATCGTAAGGTATACGGCAATGGATGTTCTCTATGGTGAGACGTCGGCGCACTGTATCGGTACTGATGGATCTTCCGTGTGTTGCCACTGTCTGACGGGCTGTCTCAGATGCTTGTGTGAGGAGATTCTGCACGTGCTGTCGCACAACACGGCGTTCTTGTCGCTTTGTGGTAACCCTTGGTATATCAGATCCGGGGTGATCCTCCGTGGTGTTGGTGGCCCGAAAGTGTTGCTGAAGTCTGTAAGTGGTCCGAACATTGACCTGGAAGTGATTGCCAACGGCTTGGGCAGTGTGCCCAGTATCGAGTCTTCCAAGTGCCCGGTTCCTCTGAGTTGTCGTGGGTCGTAGCATGCTGCTGACGTTGTAGTGTGGATGATTCAACCAGGTATGGGGTGCATTTTATAGGTCTGGTCCCGGTGAACAGCATGTGCAGCATGAGTTACATGAAAATCATGGAGAACACATTTGAGAACATTTCCTGGGTTCAATTCTGTGTTTGGAAAGGAGCCTTATTGCTCAGGTAAAGTTGGAGATATGGTCACAAATATACAATAAAAACATTTGGCAAGTTTTATGCAATGCGTCTATTCAGAGTAATATACCAACATGGCGTTTCTTATGCTGCTTTATAGTATATAATGTATGGAGTGTCCCTAGTTTCCACACATGCCTTCTATGAACCATGTTACACCATTCCTTTGTGGAATCACCATTATATTTACTAAATCTCTGACTTTTGTATATATTAATGTATACACTTGGGCGTTTTGTACGAGGCTACAACGAATCTTGGGCTGCTTGCAATACGAAATCGTTCATAATGGTTTAATAGTTGTCGAATATTCATTAGGAAATTGGATCGCTTTGCATGCACATGAAACATAATGGGTGTGTATAGTTACTACATTAATCTACCCCCGGGTTATTGTGAAATAATAACGTGAAACCAAGTTATTATGTACAATACAGGGTTATTATACATGTGTGGTTTAATGGTCGAGAGCGAGGCATTAAGTGAAATATTGATACAGCACGAGGACCCACCGTCATCTTTATATTTTCCGGAAATCTTATTGATGGGCCTGTTTTTTATCCGATTGGTTGATTATCTAACATTTTTTTTGTTTTTTGTTGTTTTTTTTTGTTTTGTTTTTGGGTTTTTTTTGCTTACATATTATGAATATGATATTTTCCGAAAACTGTAAATCACGCACCGTTACTTTAATATTCAGTTACTTGTAAAATAATGAAGGTGGATATTTTGTAGATATAGTTTGAACTTGTAATACATTTCTCCACTGTCTATTTTAAAAATGGCATCAGAAACTTCAAATTTACGCGGGGTATTTTCGACATACAACCATTTTGATTTCTCTCGTTGGTTTTAAAATTCTGTTGACAGGTTTTTAACCCATTTCGTCCCTGTGTAATTGGTGACAACTTAACTCTAAACTCTTTAAATTCAAAGAAATATTTTGCTTTATAAAAAAAAGAAATACATTAAAAACACGAAATTTTGAGAAATGAAAAATCATCTTAATAACAACCAGCGGCTGCCAGGCAGGATACGCCCACATTTTTGAGAGATGGATAGAGAACAAGCTAAAAAGAAAGTGATTTTTCCTACAATCAAGGGCCATAATTCATGAAGTTACAATTCGATATGCGCAAATATCGAAAGGAACCAAGATCGATATGCGCGAATATCGAAAGGAACCGAGATCATTGGGTTATAAACTTACATTTCAAGTTTCAACAAAATTGGATAAAAATTGTGACCTCTATAGGGTCCACAACCTTGATTTACCATATTTTTACACTATTCGCGTACAAATGGCGGCCATTTTGTCCGGCAATTTTGGTCCGATTTTCACGAAATTAGAACTCAACCTTCCTTAAGGTGTAGCGGTGATATAATAATACGGTTTTTTAAATCGGATAAAAATTATGACCTCTATAGGGTCCACAAGCTAAAAACGCGATTTTTCGTACAATCAGGGGCCATAATTCAGGAAGTTACGGTCCGATATGCACGAATATCGAAAGGAACTGAGATCTTTGGGTTATAACCTTACATGTCAAGTTTCAACAAAATCGGATAAAAATTGTGACCTCTATAGGGTCCACAAGCTAAAAACGTGATTTTTCGTACAAACAGGGGCCATAATCCATGAAGTTTCGATCCGATACATGCCAATATCGAAAGCAGCCTAGATCTTTTGGGGATAAACCTATATTTCAAGTTTCGTCAAAATCGGACAAGAATTGTGACCTGTAGAGAGTCCACAAACAAATTGTGGACGGACGGACGTCCAGACGGACAGGGGCGACGACAATATACGTCCACATGAAAATGTGGGCGTATAAAAATTTAAATATGTAATATATAGATTACGTTGGTTAAATTAATTATTTTTTTAAAAAAAATCGATGCTATGTCGAGATATGACAAGTTTTTGGGACTACAAACACAGGTCTTAGTTATATCTGTGAGTTTAAATGGAAATGGCAAAGGCACATCTTTTTCTTGAAGTCCGATAGTCGAATCTTGTATTTCTTTAACTTTTGTTATTCCGGCTTTATCTGTTTTTAAATCAAACTCGACTTGACCTTGGTAGTCTTGACAACAGATCTGTACGCAATGGCAGGTAAATAAATATTATAATCTCCCACGTGGTGCCATTTGGCTTAGCCCTTTCTCTATATTGGCTATGTCCGTTCTGCTCCGATTGGGCTAATAAAAGACGGGCAAACAACGTCATACAGTGTGTTATGACAGCGGGGTGACATTTAATCAAAAGAACATGAAAAGAAAAAGATAATGCCACCATTGGTGCTATGTACATATACCTTGGCAGATAAATTGGATAGCACCATGAGTTGTTTTGTCAGACGTGGAAAGCGGGCCGACCGAATCTAGTCGCCACATCCTACGTATAACCCATATACTCTTTTCTTACTACATATCTTAATAGCCTTGTGATCGTCTAGTATGTTTAATTGTCTTCTTTTTCACGTTATGTATTGTCTTCTTACTATCTCCGCCGTTAAGCCGTTATCTTCCCATTAGTTAAGACGTTTGTCTTACCAGGAATAACAATGCAACATTTCAGTTCTACATTTTATATAAAGCACGGAGGTAGATTAATTAAAATTAACATCTTTCTCTCAACCCCAACTCCTGTAAAAGTCTAACTAGCGGAAATAGTATCATTACACGATCCTCTCAGTATTTATATAATTTAAATGTTTGGATCACAGCACAATAGTATTACATAACTATCTTATCATCTAAAATAATATTATCACATACCTAAAATAATATTACAAATCTATCTGATTATCGTATGAATATCTTATTATCTAAAATCATCTTATCGTAGGACTGTATCATTATCAATAATAATCACAATGATTTTTAGTTAAAATAGTATACCATCAGATGACTATGCTATTATGTAACACAAAAGAAGGATGTTAAAACCCGTTTAGATATTAATAATTCACATAACCATATTTGATACCTAATAATATAATATCATCTGTCATTGGACAACGGGAAATATTATGTGGACAGCGTGATTATCATATTTATACATTGATTTGATCATTTTAAGCATGTTTATAAGGCAAGAACGCTTCTTTTATTATATTTATGGTTAGATTAACTTTAATGAGTCCTCACTCGGGCCAGCTCTTATGGGGATTCGCTGATTGTTTACAATAATATGGACATATTTATGTTTTCGTTCTTGATTTAAACCAAGGAATTCGTAAGTCAATCATGATAAATAATAGATATACAGTAGAATCTGTATTAAGCAGACACTCAGGGCAATTTTCATGACTGACCGCTTATGACCTCCTAATAAAATCTCAGTGTTTGATATTGCTGACATCGAGTAAATTTTACGCTTGGGTGCATTGGGAGCAAACATCAATACTTGCATCGGTAAATTTGGCCGTCGCTGAAACTTGCTTGGAACGAAAATACTTTGACTCCAATCGCTGATATAACTTCTGTAAACGTGCCATTTTGTACCAACGCTGATACTACTATCTACCATTGTAAAGTAATCGATATTTATTCATTTTGGTAAAGAAAATATTTTATCAAAAGGCACATGTCCAAAACACTTTCGCTGAAAATGTCACTGATTTTCAGGAGGTATAACGGGTGTGTAGCTCTATATGTAATATAGGAGGCGCTAAAACTTCTGTTTAGCAACAAAGTGGCAATGGAAAATCGTGACAAACAAAACTCGGATTTGACACAGGTATGCTGAAGTACGGTGTATTCATATAGAAATTAGATACCAATAGAAAATGATTTGGGTAACAGTTCAAAATATATATTTAGATATAAATTATACAAGTCTTCTACAACTATAGAGGCCCATTCCATTACATCAGACTATGTATTGCAACATGGTAAATGGGTTAGCCCGTTCCTAACATGTTGGTGTTCAATTGGATGTGCCAACTCAGTTAGCGTATGTACCAGATCTCGGAATAACTATCTGAACATTTTAAAAGTATTTACATGTATAATGAATATTGTTAATGTGGCAGTGTATATTTGTATTTATTGTATCTTGAGTATTTGCCCTATTATTGCCCCTTTAATATATTGGTTATTTATGGTATATTTGGTGTTTGTGGTATTGTCCCTTTAATAGTATATCTCTAAGCTGGCCTACAATGTCTTTATAATAACAATTCTAATCTCTACTCACTAATTACATCTCAGCTTCTATTTCAAATCTCACTTGCAACTTAACCTTGGTACAAGGACCACATTATATCACTTGGTAAGTTTTATATGTATTTGACTTGACTTTTATGTTATATTTATAGCACGGCTTTCTTAAGTTAAGAGGTTTAACCAGAGGCCGAAGGCCGAGGGGTTAAACCTGTTAACGAATGAAGCGTGCTATAAATGACTTGTAACACTGACAACTGCTCTACATGCTTATTGTTATTGCACAGAAAACCCACCCCACTTCTCTGTATGATTTCTACTAAAACTAGTGTAAACCAGCAAAAGTGTGCAATAACATTGAACATGTCTAGTTATTGCACGGTTAAGCTTCACCCAATCTACTAGAGGGAAAACAATCTGCTTATTCAGCGAAAAGAACAAAGGAAGACTTCCCATCCATGTTACAAATCTATATATTTAATATAATTAGAGTCTATTTTATATATGAAATAATTAAGTTACTAGTATATTTCTATAAGTATTTCAATAGTTATATTTGTGCATTTTTAGAATGTTATACTTCGTTTAATCCATTCATATTGTTAATTTCAGTCCTGTATTTTATATGGTAAAACTCTTGGAAATATTCAGTATTATTATACATGTATATAAACTCCTATTTGATAGGGTATGTATTTATTAGGAGTTCATTCTAATTTTATAAACCCTTTTACATTCCTTTGTTTCCAATTCATGACTTTCCGCCTCTATTTGAAATATATGTATATAGTGTAAACTAATATTATTCTTAATTTTTAAAAATTTCTTTGTGTCTTTCAGAGTTTTTGTTATCTGTATAATATTAAAAAACAATCCACAATAAAATCCAGAAGCTATACTACCAGAATCCTGCTACATTAAGATAGTACTTTTGAATATATATAAATAAAATGAAATGGATTTTATGTCTTTCATTTCTGTACCAACCGGGTTTTTGCCTACTTTTATTTTAATTTCTATCTGTCAGTAAGCTTCATTACTCACAATACACTATTTCACTGTCAATATCCCTTTAAATCGTACACCCGCGTGTTATCATGTAAACGAACATTTCAATTTCATCGCTTTCTTGCCCAATTGACGCGGTTACACCTACAGACAAAACGATAAAACTTGGGGACAGCTATTATCTCTCTATTGATACTGTGATCTATGTAGTACATTAGTCGAGTCTTAGGTTTTGGGGTTGCTTTCCTGTTTCCATGTAGTGTGAGATTTCCGTGTCCTTGCCACCACGCGGTTTGGGTCCGCCATTTTTTTTTCAACCTTGAAAATGACCCTTCATGTCTTTATACGAGCGATGCGAATACTCGTTGAACTGACAGCGTTTACCGGAAAATTATATCGATATGTAAAAGTTTCATTTACACCACCATACACACTATTATGCCGTATTCCGTTGACCGATTTCTACCTTCGTGTCCGAACATCTAACATCTTTAACCTTCTGCTAATATCAACGAGCAAAGTGCTTATTTTAATTTATGCGGAATAAGATTTATTAATATCTGAATACAAATGAGGTGTCATTTACGTGATTTGATCATATTAAAACTTATATTATTCACGAACTTATTGTCGTATATATAATCAGCACTTCCGTTGAGCGGCAATTCAACACAGAAAGGTAAATAAAGATGCAGTAAATACTTTTTGACTTATACTATCACAATTGTCGATAAATCAGGTGTTAAATCGTAATATAGACTATCAACCATCATTTGCAAGACCGGTCACATCTTTTAATGTCAACATTGTTCATATAGAGCTTTCTATAAATTATTGATGAAAACAGAACTGTCAAAATCTAAGCTATCATGACTGCCGTTGTCAAGTGTTGGTAAATGTTAACAAAAAGGCTTGTTTCTAAATTTTGGATAGATTATTATTCATTTATGTTAGAATAATAAGCATTTTGAGGGCTTGGTATAGAATTTGTAACCTAAATGTAATTTTTATATGGCAAATTCTTTTCTATGGAGTACCATTTACAACACATCATCTGTTCCAATCAAACATTCAGCTGGACATTTCCACATTCAGTTTTGAACTTAGTGTAAATTTAACAAAGATTAAACACTGTGATGAGTTTAAATAAATATTGAATAAAATGTATTACAAAATATTTAATGAAAAACTTAGTAAATATGCATGCCCAATGTATAATTGCCAGTGTATCTTTATGCTTCCAGACAAAAAGTTTCGAAGGGTGAATTAAAAGAAGTCATAAAAATGTTAGCAATGTGTATTCATATAATTCATTAGGCCTATAAAATAGCTGAAAACAAAAGGAGATTGAAGGGAATTTTGATGCAGTATTTATCATTTTCCATATAGACCCGAAATATTTCATCTAAATGATGTTTATGATGGTACTCCATACAAAAATTCTGAAAGTAGTCCCTTGGAAAAAATGGAGGATATTTGGAAAAGAAGTTTGATTATATAGACTTGTTGTACTAAAACAAAGATAGTTTTCAAAATTTGAAATCTTGACGTAGGGGGCCTATGTAGTGTATATATGCAGGCATCTGTGTGAGACTTTGTGATGCTGAATGGTATATTCATATTTTCCAAAGTTACAAAAATGTCAAAGTCATTATTTATGATTTCCATCCATTTTTTATTGTTCAGTATCATCTCAAGCACATTTAGATACCAAAATACAGGCACTACACATTCCGTGAAAGATTTTTTTAGGACCTCCCTCGCCCCCCATTTCAGGTGTTGTGATAATTTTTGTCACTTTACCTTGCCCTTAATAGTTTATATAAAAATTTAAGACCAAAAGAAATACCTGCAATAGGCAGATTTAACTCTTGCATAATGTATGTTTAAACTGAAACCGTTTTCATTCACCTGATACTATTATTAGGAAGTAAACAGAATAAAACCAAGTACGAACAATCCAAACCATTAGACTAAATTCGAAGTCCTATACTCCCCCCCCCCCAAAAAAAAAAACCCCAAAAAAAACGGTATATACAAAATAATGTAGTCAGCAAATGGACAAAATACAAAATAACGGGTGTTCGGAAGAGTAAGCTTACCCTGCCTGGCGCCATAGCAGCATCCAAACTATTACACGAAATCTCGGTAAAATTGCGTAATTGGCCAATGGACTTCCCGTATGAAAAATGCACATGATGAACAGTGTTAACAGATGTAGTAGACATCATCAGGAAGATTAAATACACGCAGAAACTCTATTTTAGTTAGGATGGCCTAGTGGTCTAGAGTGTCACGCTTCGACCTCTAGTTGGCCGGTCACCTCTGGCTTACGGCTGTGGTTTCGATCCCAGGTGTGAGCGTATGTGGCTTGGAGATAGGGGCGCCTTCTCAACCTCGTGGGTTTACTCCGGGTACTCCGGTTTCCTCCCACAGCAAAGACCCCTGCGCGTGCGCTAAGATCATTAAAATGAACTTGTCTGCGATATCACCTTCGGTGGAAGCGGACGTTAAACGCTAAGAACAACAATTTATTATCACAGTTATAACTAACACCACTCATTTCTATCAATATCAATAATAGATGTGTCTAATTTTTCTTCGATCTTGACCAGTAACCAGGGTGCCTTGTCAATTGCTGCTGTTAGTAAACGATCCAGATACTCTTTATATTGGGAGCCACGGTGGCTAAGTGAGTAAGACGCAGGCTCGCTTGTCTGATGGTCGCGGATTTTCTCCCGGTGTTTACCGAGAAAGTTCATCGGGATTTTCCGACTTGGATTCCCCATGTCAGTGGTTTAGGACGGAGGGCATGACATGGACAGCTGTCTTGTCGATCGGAATGTACGGAAAATTGTGGTCCCGTGTACACATTGGTGTGCACGTAAAAGCTCCCTTGGCAGATGGAATTCGATGTAAGAGTAGGCCGTAGCTCCGCTTTCCGGTCAAAATTTTTCATATAGTCGCATGCCCGTTTTCATTAACCCAGCCGGAGCAGAAGAGTAGGGTGTTAAACCCCATTGCATTTCATTTCCATTTACTCTTCCTGTTGCCTGGCTTCCCTCATTCCCTGTACTATAACAATAAGAATATATTGGTTTATTAGGAAATTAATTCAACAACAATATCTTATTTAAACTTAAAATTTTATGTATGAAATACATAAATAACACCTTGAGGAATTGGTTTCCTTTCAATAGTTAAATGTATGAGTACAATTCGATATTTGCGCATATCTTCCTGATATGAGCACTGATTGCACGAAAAATCACGTTTTTAGCTTGTGGACCCTCTAGATCGGGTTTTAAATTACGTTTAAATATATGACCGTTACATCTATAATGACGCTTAAATTCGAATTTTGTGAAAATCGGACCGAAACTGCCTGACAAAATGGCTACTCCTTGTGCGCAAATAGGGTAAAAGTATGTAATACCAAGGCTGTGGACTCTCTAGAAGTCACAATTTTTATTTTGTATCCGATTTTGATGAAACTTTAAATATATCTTTATATCCCAAATGTCTCAGTTCATTTCGATATTCTTGCATTTCAGATAATAACTTCCTGCATTATGGCCCCGGATTGTAGAAAAAATCGCTTTTTTCATAGCTTGTTCTCTGTTCATCTCTTGCAAAATGTGGGCGTATCTTGCCTGGCAACCGCAGGTTAAATATTCAACAAAGAATAATATTCAAGGTGAACAAAACAGATTTTATTCGCTGGTTTAATGCTGTGGCGTGTCTTAGATTTACGAAAGTGTTTACAGAATTAATATAATTTCACAAAAATATTGGCATATAAGAGATGAGGAATTTCGAAAAGTAAAAGGGTTTAAAGAACTTACAGACAAATAAAGAGAAAACGTCGGACGATCTAGATAACCCAACATAAACTAAAAGTTATTGAGTGTATTAGTAACTTAACATTAACTAAACGTTATTGAGTATAAAAATAACCATACCGTACGAGCCAGGGGGGCAGGGGGGTGGGGGGCAGCTGCCCCCTAACTTTCGGGCAAGCTGACTTTTCGGGCAGACGGGTAAAGTGAAAAAAAATGTTTATTTCATCTACTTGGAAAATAATGTGCTTGAAATCTAATAAAACACTAATTTTAGGGGCTGGAATAGTAGTAAAACGCATTTGCGGCCGTTAAATATTACAAAATTTTCTTTGGGAGGGGGGGGGGTCCATTGGGTCGAAGAAAACCGGCGCCGCTGTCTGTAAACCTGAAATTTTTTCGGGCATTTCTAGTTTTGCTTCCCTAACTGTCACCGAGCCCTAATAAAACATTACTTTTACATTTGTTCTTTTAATTGAATACCACGAATTTGTACTGAGTTGACTATGGATTAAAACATTTTGTCTGGAGCCACTCTTCTTTGACATTTTTCGGGCATCGATTATTTTTTGTGAATGCAGCTGCAGCAGTCTGATTGGTTGGTTGGAATTCAGAATGGGATTTCGGTTACAAAACCATTGGATACTTTTCGGGTCGCTTAGGCTACACGGGCTAGAATAGCAAAAAACGCATTTGCGGTAAATTTTCAAAATTTTCTCCGGGAGGGTGAGGCCCCGATATCCCGCGACGATTGATTGGTTGCTTGGAATTCGGGTCAGCCAGGTTGGCTATATTGGACCAAATTGAAGTTGCTGTATTCACAGGCTGGAACAGCAGGAAAACGCGTTTGCGGCAGTTAAATTTTCAAAATTTTCTCCCATTAACGGTCCCGTCTCCGTGGACTGTAAATGATTGATTGGAATTCGAGTCAGCCATCTTAATTGGGCTATATTAGATCACTTTGAAGTTGCTTTGTTCACGGGCTGAAATAGGAGGAAAACGTGTTTGCAGCCGTCAAATATTCCAAAATTTTCCTGTGGGGGGGGGGGGGGGGAGAGGAGTCCATACAAGGTAAGCTTCTCTTGAAGACCGGCGCCTGTCTGTAAACCCGAATTTCTTTCGGTCATTTCGGGTTCTGCCCTCCCCCTCCCTAACTGTCATCCAGCCCGTACGCCTATGAAAATAACCCAACATAAACTGATAGCCTATTTATTGAGTGTATAATTTATACGTCAGCACCATTGGTAGGCCCTACCCAGATACAGCCTAGGAGGTTATTTTTCGCAAGTTTATTATGAAAACATCACTTCATATTAAAAATCTTTATTGCAGTATGAATATGTCTTGGTATTGGACATGTAAAACGCCCCGCGTAATAAATGGGTCAAGTCATAGATATGTTACGGTAAAAATGTAGACGCCATGTTTATAGAGAAGCGCGCAACCCCCAAATTCAAAATAACGTCACTCAATTGTGTCCAATCCCATGATGCACATAGGTAACCCAGTAACGTCTTTTCTATGCCTAGCTAGATTATTAAGATAGAGTTGCGCGCTTTTTACGGATTTATCAAACGTTTGACAAAAACATAAAAATGTTATGTATTTATTCTAAAATTATCAACCGAGTTGAAACAATATTGGTGAAAAATCCAGAAAATCCTGGAAAAGATAGATCTACAGATAAATCTGATCTCTTTGTTGTAACCAGAAATACAAGAACGAAGACATGTTCATCACCAACTCTAGCAATAAATCAGCAGGAGTGGATTAGCCGAACTAAAGTTCGAGCGTCTGGAGGTATAAGTTGTGAGGTAGTGGAGGCTAGTCCCAGGAAAACAGCACCGGCAAAAATACAGAGAATAGATAGAGGATAAAGGTGTCACAGAAGAACAGAAAACCAAGTTAGAAAAAGCAGAGAAAAGGCGGAAGGTTAGTTAAAAAGAAATACCTTAACCCCAGACCAAGCAAACTATATACCTAATCTACCTGGCCCATCTACTGCAAATGTAGACAGCGGTGAATGGGATTACGAATAAAATCCGCCACCTTCGTAGGTGTTGCAAATGGCGTGTTGCGAATATTAAGAACATAGGCCTAATCCTAATACTCTCAGGAGAGGGAGAGGGAGAGAGAGAGAGAATAATTCGCTTACTCGTAGGGGTCTTAGCAGTGGGAGGAAACCGGAGGACCCCGAGAAACCCACGAGGTTAGACAGACGACCCTCCTCATTGTCACGTATACAACCGGGGAATCGAAACCACGCCAGCTGACTCAATGGCAGACCTTATGATGCAGCGCGCATGCGCTAACCATTCGGCCATCCAACCCTCCGTCAGGAGAGGGAGAGAGAGAGAGAATAATTCGCTTACTCGTAGGGGACTTAGCAGTGGGAGGACCCCGAGAAACCCACGAGGTTAGACAGGCGACCCTCCTCATTGTCACGTATACAAACGGGGAATCGAAACCACGCCAGCTGACTCATGCGCTAACCATTCGGCCATCCAACCCTCCGTCAGGAAATAATATTCTAGTTCCATTCGCAACACTTTCGTAAGCAATCACAAGCCATTATTAATATTATTGACGGCAAGGCTTTTCTGCTGATCGTACGAAATTTGTAAGGATTTGCTAGCAGCGACCGTAAGACATTTGTAAGGATTTTCTAGGATTCATCTTAAAACTCAGCGGTGGTTGACGCATATTCTTACCACAGTGGCGGATATCATTACATGTATATTGAAGTTTGAAATTCGTCATTGAAATATATATATTTTTTTTGAATAGGAAATAAAAGCAGATATGGCAAAGAAATTCCATAATGAATGTAGAGAAAAGAAGGTAGACAAACAAGAATTTCAAAAAGATAAAATGGTTGCCGCGGAACAAAATAGAGAGATGAGATTAAAAGAATTAAGAGATCGGTTGAAAGAAAAACGCAATCAGTCAGAGGTAGTAAGAAACGGAAGAGAAATAACTGGAGATCATATCGGCGGTTCTTTGGTCAGCCTACCAGAAACACAAACATCGGCGGGTTTCATGAGCTTTCAAATTATTCAGATCAACCACACACTACCAGAAGGACACGCAGCAAGGCTGGAAACCCTGAGTAGAAGAAGAACGAGTAAATTGGAGAAGGGAAATCTGAAACAAAATGGACGAGAGGCTAGTAATACTATTGTCTCCTATATCAGAAGGAATACTGGTTAACATCTGGTCGACACAATATCGGTCATTTTGCGACTATATAACTACAGTAGTTTATAGTTTTATGGTTGCGTGTGTCAAATTATTGTTCCAAGACAACAGCTTTTCTGCCAACGTGTCTTAAAATTTAAGCTGTTGAAAACGCGCAAAATGCACACCGGTTTAGTTCGTTATTTCGTGCCATCCAAACTATTATTCACGTATTCCGGGTCAGCACCACAGACGGTAGCCCATTGATGCACGAGCTCCATGAGCTGTTTTAACAGGGTGGTATTTCGAAAATTAGACAGCTGCAATCGCGATTGGGGCAAAACTGAAATGGCGGAAAAATACCCGTTTAGATTCCTTTGCGCCGCAAACGCCCAAGGCGAGAAACGCGCAGTTGGTGAGAATTTGAAACCTACCCGTAAGTGCAGCAACTTGATTGTATAGCCTGTTCTGTCTCTGAGGTGTTCAGACTCAGAGTCCCACACCTACGCTCGATGTGAATTATTAAATGTTAGGTCCCGAAATAACCTACTTTGTGTCGAGTGGACGCTTACCCCACCCTAACCCTCTCTCCGACAACTTGATAGTGGTCCAATATAGCCTTTTTCATATGGTTTTGCATCATTAATCCCACTCTTGTAGCTGCATTCACCGGACACTAGAAATCCTAATTACCGCAAAAACTGATGAAACTAAATGATGATGCCCGAATGAAATGTGGCTCTAGTCAAAAGGTTTCGGGAACTTTATTTTTCCGACTAGAAGGCAAGATATTTTTTTCTCCAAAAAAGGACTATATTCCGATTGTCGAAAAATTGATAACACAAATAATGACCGATGCCCGAAAACTGTGATTTCGGCCACTTTATTAATTTTTTTTTCTCACTTTACCCCTCTGGCCGAAAAGTCTGATTGTCAGACCGCCATACCATCCGGCTCGTTCATCGATGCAACAAGTGTCCCACAACAAGGTTCTTGCTGACTCATGAGTTCAGTCCAGTGTTGAATAAATTAAAATTGTTTTTTCTATTTTGTTCAATAGAAAATGGAAGAAGACAACAGAATGCCAAAGCTGGCAGCAGAAGTAATGAAAGAAAATGAGAAATTACAGATAGAAAAAATGATGAATGCCCAATTAAATAGAGAGAAAAGATTGCTTGAGTTGAAGGAAAGATTGAGAGCGAAAGAAGTGCATGCAGGGAGAGTAAGAAAGATGAAAGATTTAAATCTAGATGATCTGGATGATCCATCATAGACTAAAAGTGTTTGAATTTTAATCAGCTGTTTTAGAGAATATAACTTAATAATTCTTTATGGAATGCTCTTAGAGCCCCCATTGTAATTATTTCTAAACGGCTCAACATCTTGAGCTAAAAATTAAAGAAAACATTGTCTGCCAACTTGACTGGGGGAGTGGTTGTTATTTCTTGATCGAATGGTTAAGCAGTTTGGGGAACATTGGAGAAGAAACTCCAAGAATTTACTTATGGTAAATGGACAGTAAGTAACGACAAATACATTCTGGAAATAAGCCCTCCCTCAATCAAGTTACTTGACAAACATGGCTTCTAAAAATAGATTTTTTAAAATATAATTATAAAGTAGGCATATAGAACCAAAAAATAAGTATTATATTGAAAACATTATTTATTAACATATCTCTAATAATATAATAATAATAACATACAAACATTCAACAAATAATATTCAGATTTGATTAGTATACATTTTCTCTATCAACAGGAATTATAGGTAAATATTCTATGTGATTGTGAAACTAAACAGACGCCAATTAAATATAACTATATGACCCGGATTATTGTACAGATATGGCCAAATACTACTAACTAGTTAATTTCAAGGCAGCTTCTTCATATAACTGTTACTGTAGCTTTAGTTTTAGGGAAAATAGTTTGATGATTTTAATTGGATTTGAGTGTTTTAACGAATATTGTACAACCTATAATAAAACAGTCGATTTATGGAAGTTTTATAACTCGGGCAACATATTATTCAGAAACAAAGTAAGGTTTTTGTCAAACCCCGCATCTTTTTAATAAAGCAATTCTTGGATTCAATAGCGTTAGTACATCACTGTAGAGTTGATAAAGTCAAAGACATAACAGAAATTTTTATATCAAATTAAAAGATCAAAAGCTGATGTTGTGTTTGCAGATCACCATAATGTAGACATAACTGGCCTTATTAAACACATAGTGACAGACAAGTTAACATAGTACACTAGCAAATTTGTAGCTTGCACTCTAATATAACTCTTCATATATCATGGTTTTTTTGTTGGTGGTTGTTTTTTTTTTTCGAAAATGTGGTTTTGGGATAAGGGGCTTACACCACAAATATTGATCATGATCCTAATTTTGTGTTTTGTGAAAAGTGGCCAGGGTGAGTACAATATAGGCAAATATTAACAATCACAAGTCAGGGTTTGAAACTCTGGACAAGAACTCGGATGTTAGAGTGAATACCAATACGGGAATGTTTGTTTATCCAGCAGGGGCAAAATTATGGAAATTTAATCAAAATGGTTTAAGAATTTAACAGAGTGAATAAAATTAAATGTGGACGGACCAACGACAATATACCATTAAATTGAAATTGAAAATGATAGAGGCTGAATTAAACACTATTACACAGATCAATCACATTAGAATATTCTGGACTTTTATAAATTTATTTCTTATATTTTATTTGTGAATTACAATATATATATATAACTATCTGTCTTATGTACATATATATATATATATATATATATATATATATATATATATAAGAAAGACATCTCTTACACTATGATAGCACAAAAATACACACATTTTCTCTCTATAAATGAACAATGGCATTGTAATAATTTGCGGTTTTATACAAATCCTATAAAAATATACAAATATACTAAATAGTACATCATTCATATTGTACGACCTTCCTCTATGGTATCATTATATAATTGCTATATAGAATACACTTAATTTCACTTGATGCAAGAAAATTGTGGATTTGAACCAAATAAATAAATGTCTAAAACATGTAATTATGATTTTAAATATTTCTGATATACAAATTAATGAATACCTAACATGTATCATGGTACTACCATACCCTCTAGTACAAAAAAGATTTATTTATTATTATTATTATTATTATTGTTCGATTTATAGCTTTAATACTTCGCATTTTCATTATACTTGCTAAATTATATAATACTAGAACCAAATGGTGTGACATTTTGTTGTTTTTTGGAAGTACCTCATACCAAAACACTTGTATCAGTCTCTCAGATAATAGCAGTGGTAAATTGCAGAATTTATTCAGGAATTCAACAATTCTTAAGTCAATTTTTATCTATATCAATCAATAAACTATGTATTCAAAATAACCAGTAGAAGGTGTTTTATTTGGAGGGTTTAGGCACCAAAATAAAATTTTTTGATGTTAATAAAGTGAAAGTGAGCTTTTAATAGGAAGTTTGCGAAATAATATAAGCTACCACACTCAAGTCTAAATGCAATTTTTACCATAATATATATGCTTTTTTTTAAATTATTATTTATTGTCAATTTCGTAATTTACAGTATGGTTCTGAAAAATTAAAAGTGTCCTGGTTTATCCCCAAAAATAACTTAATCTTAAACAATGATTTATTCTTTCCAGTAGAGAACTTTTATATGGAAATTCCACTTTTTATATTAGCCAAAAGAGCCTTCAAAATCCAGCCATCTAAAGTATTTCCATTTCCTTACAGCTTACATCTGAGTTCCGACCCTAGATTCATTTGATCAATAAAATAGTGTGTGGAGAATTAAAACATCAATAATAATCACCAACTGATGTTAACAATGCCATTAAGACAACTCTTCTAATTAAACTAAACAGCCATATTTATTTTTCTCATAAAATCAATTATTTAGTAGTAAATTGGTCTGAGTGGCTACACAGTCATACTTCAGATATATTAACATATCATATGGTAAACAGTAAAAGTAAGCACAGTCTTTAAATATAACTGTTAATATCATGTAAATAATAATAGTCTTATATACTTTTAAACACATTTTACCTACATAATATTACCAGTACCACATTCATGATGCAACAATTGTACAAGACAGTGTTTGTCCGCAAGTATCCATGACTTCAGGTCAGGTGTACGTCTCGTATTATAAAAATAATGTAAATCTTGTGTAAACAAGCGGTTGCCATGCAAGATACGTGCACATTTTGCAACAGATGGATTGAGAATGAGCTAAAAAAAAAAAAATGCAATTTTTCGTACAATCAGGGGCCATTATCCAGGAAGTTACGGTCCGATAGGCACGAATATCGAAGGAAACCGAGATCTTTGGGTTATAAACATATGTATTTCAAGTTTCATCAAAATCAGATAAAAATTGTGACTTCTAGAGGGTTCACAACCTTGGTATTAAGAGCCATAATCCAGGAAGTTACGTTCCAATATTATCGAAAGGAACCAAGATCTTTGTGATATAAACATGAATTTAAAATTTCATAAAAATCGGATCAGAATTGTGACCTCTAGAGGTTTCACAACCTTGGTATTACATATTTTTACACTATTTGCGTACGAGGAGCAGCCATTTTGACCGACAGTTTCTGTCTTATTTCATGAAATTTGAACTCAAACATCATTATGGTGTAAAAGTGATAAAGTTGAACGTTTTTTTTAAATCAGATAAAAACTGTGACCTCTAGACGAATCACAATCTAAAAACACGATGTTCATACATTCAGGAGCCATAATCCAGGAAATTACAGTCCGATATGCGCGAATATCGACAGGAACCTAGATCTTTGGGTTATGAACATACATTTCAAGTTTCATCAAATTAAGATGAAAATTGTGACCTCTAGAGTGTCCACAAGCTATCGACAGGAACCTAGATCTTTGGGTTATGAACATACATTTCAAGTTTCATCAAATTAAGATGAAAATTGTGACCTCTAGAGTGTCCACAAGCTAAAAACTTGATTTTTCGTACAATTAGTGGCCATAATCCATGAAGTTATGGCCCGATACATGCCAGTATAGATGGGAAATAAACCCATATTTCAAGTTTTGTCAAAATCGGATAAAAATTGTGACCTGTAGACTGTCCATAAACAAATGTGAACGGACGGACAGGAGCGACGACAATATACGTCTACATGAAAATGTGGGAGCATATAAAAAATCAATAAATAAGATTACCAGTTTAAACATGAACTAAATGTACAATATACTGTTTTATAATATTAATAGGTAGTGGAAAATTAGTCTTAAACTTCAGACATATATTGGTAGAAGCTATCATTATTATTATCCTCAATAAATTCCTCAATTACTACACTCTATGTAATGGTTTGGTATCAAACTGAACTATTTGTAATCACCCATGTTGACATTCTCTAAAAAATATTAAAGTTTGATGATAGGAATTTAATTTGATTTTCACATGATAATGATGATGATGATGACAATAGCTCCTACAATATAATATTCTGAGGTTCAGAATTTTTATCTGTATTAAATTAATTTAATCTCTAGGTTTTAATATCACAAACTTTGAAAAGAATAGATTATTTAAAAACAGATTCTACTAATGCTCCAAAACATCAGGTTCAGTATCTATATTGAATTTTTTTGATTTTCAAAATTTATTATGTCACAAATATTGAAAACAACAATATATTTCAAAATTGATATTACATTTTCATTTCCTATATCAAGTCAATCAAATGTCATCATATCAACAATTTATCAGCCATTCGAAACTCTATGTTATAAAACACTTTTGTTTGTGACAATATAGTATATTGATTATACATATACTTTCAACAGAATATATTATATATGTACTTTTAACCGAAAAATACACAACTATGTTTCGTATAGAAAGTTGATCACCACCGCATAGTCACTAAAAAATTGCATCAGTGTAAGTCAAATTTTACTTATCTTCGATTTCTAAGAATGTTTTTTTTTTCTTTATAAAAAAAACATAATATACAAATTAAAAACTCAATAAAATATTAAATGATACAAGTTACTGCTATAACTTATGTTGTTTTTGTTTATCTGGTTTTGCGCTAGTTGATGGGTTATCTTTTCCTGAACATAAATCACCTGTTTTTGTCATCGTAGCAACATCATTTAAAATCATCTGAGCAATTTGTAGTGCCATCTCCTCTTGTTCCTGAAATCACATTTTATAAAGATTACAGAAAAATATTTATTTTAGAATCTAATAGTGAATAGTGAAATAAGCAGACTTCTTAAATTTTTAATCTTTTTATTTTAAACTCCCTTGCAGAAAATTTTATATTTATAAAAATAAATGACAACCTTTACCAGGGAGCTGTTTAAATTGTTTCTGTGTGCAGCATGAAATACCAATCACATCAGTTTAAAAATGAGTCCATTCAAATTTATAACCCTGAGATCGTATCGTGTTAATTATGACACTTCCGGTCCCATTACCGGATTACCTTATTTAGCTATTGACCACATGCGAGTCTTAAGTAGCCATGTTTACATAGATTGAAACAAGTCATAAAATCAACCTTATAAAACATCTCAATATATTTCAATCATAGAAACTCTTGGTGAAATATTTAATGTGTATTTCGGTCCTAATCTGATCATAAAACTCTTCGAAATTCATAAACCCATCAGTGTCTGTACGGTTGGAAACATTAATGGATCTTTTACCACCTGTATGTACACGAAGAATCGGTTTTAAAGATTTCAAAAGGATATATTTTGTTCTCCTACATTCGTCGAAATAACGTCGGTCGAACTCCACTCTAATCGTATACATGTATGCAACTAAATAAGCAGAAATATTATCTCATAGCTTCTGATTTGATCAAATTCTTGGGTAATCTCACGATCTCACGCCAAACTTAAGGTTGTCTCCACATTGGACCCCCACTGCTTAAATTTCTGAAAATGCCCCAGATAGTTATAATAAATATTGATTTTTAATTACCTTCTCTTTTGTGCGACTTTTCTTAAAAAACAATGCTGAAAAAAATATTGGATAAAATTATATTTAAGACAGTATAAAGATTGTCTAATCCACTCAATATCTAAGCCATTTGATGGACTAGAGAGTTGATTATGGCTTGCTATGTGAATAATATATCTCAATCTCAACAGGCAAATTTATCTCTTAGACAATTCTTCTTTGAATTGTACAGTGTGTTTAACTTTACCATTTAATTCCAGTTTTAGAGACAGATAAATTATCTAAAACATTTTCTGATTAAGTTAATAAACACTTAAAATTCCAGTAGAATAAAAGTTTTTAGATCTTAGTAATAATTGTTTCACCAACCTTTTTTCTCTTTATGATCTGGTTCTCGAGTGAACTCTGATACAAACTGTCCATAATCATTGACACTTCCTAGAGACATTTTTCTGAAATTAAAGACAATTTCTGGGTAAATAAACTAATGGGTTGGAGTCATTTTACATTTTAGAATTTCTGTGGTACACTACTTTAAATTTTGGTGTAGAATGGTCTTAATTTAGAATTCCAGTGGAACAAAAATGTTTTGAAATAATTTGATGAGAAGCCAATAATTCTAGCAAATACCAAAAGATGATGAGTAAATGTCACGTTATTTTTTTTTTTTTGATTTTGATTCTTTAGCACTACGAATAAAAGAGGACAATATTTCACTAAATCTTTTTACTCTTTTCTCTAATTCAACTATATCTTTATCTATCATTTATAAATTATAACTGAATGACAATCTGGGACAAATATAATATATTCAAAGAGTTACCACATATCTGTAATATGAAAACTAAGGGAAATTACTCTAATTTTAAAGAAAAAGGGGCATTATTCAACTCATATTTTCTGCCTTCTTTTCAATTACACAAACATCGAACTTACTTTTCAACTGGTCGTTTCCATAATTCTTCTGGATTTAATAGTTGATTATCAATTCGCATATCTATATCAAGCTTGTTGAGGGCTTTTTTAATACTACTGCTATCCATGGCTAGTAGAGTATTTTTATGAGATGAAAGACTGTCAGCTCCAACACTCTGACTTCCACCACTATGTTCTGATGATGCATCACTTCCTGTTGAAAACAAATATCGGTTTAATTTATTTACTTGAAATGAATTACATTCAACAAATATAATTGCATAGTAACAAGTAGTAGGACATTTATTATTTATGGAAATGTATTTTCTTTTTCGTTACATAAAAGACTGTATGCATGCATGATTTTAATGCTATAGAATGCCTTGCTAACTACAAAATTGTGAAAGTAGAATCTCAAATGGTAATATCAGTCCAAAGCTGGTTCAATTCCTTCCAGTATTTAAAAAGATATAACAAATTGAAAAGCTTATTTTTATTTGCCGTGAACCAAATTGATAGGCCTGTTTTAAATCTGATCTGACGCAGTGAGATTATATAGCGTTGGTATTTTGATTTTTTAATTAAATGTAAAACTAATCAATCTGAGTACATATTAGGGTAGATTAATCCTTGAGAAATTTGATATTTTAGCATAACATGCAAATGTATCATAATGTAAGAATCTGAGAAATTTTTTGAAAATACACACACAAATAATCTTTTTTAATTTGCTCACCTGTGCGTTTGCGTTTGGTTGGCAAGTCTTGTGCCATATTAACTGTCGAGATCAGGTCAGATAAATATTTATAATACATTTCACTTTTTAAAAAATGTTCAAAATATACCTGAAATTATGATTAAAATAACATTTATCACTTAAACTACTATTTTTCTGTCAGGACCTGAAGCTATGAATGATTATTGCCATCATACATTAAGCATCTGACTACCTTTGCCGCCTTCAAATCTCACCTTAATTAAAACACATCTTTTTGGGGGAAATTGTGAGAAAAAATACAGATACAGAGCAACATTGGGTAGGCCTACTTCTGCCAATAGGTGCCATGTAAATTATTGTTTGAACTTATGTATCATCCAGTGTCACTGTAATACTTTATAAAAGAGTTTGTATTTCTTAAAGCCTCAAAATGCCAGAATAAAGGTTAAATATCGATACACTTAATACATTTGTTAGGTTCAAAATATTATTCAATCATTTCTAACTTAAGGTTATTCTTGGTTACAGTCATTTTGATTTTAAATCAGCTTTAATTTCTATTAATTAGTAAGTGCAGGGGGGAGGGGGGGGGGCACCACACACAAACAATTACACAAGACAAAGTAATTATTCTTACCTTATCTAGAGTACGTAACACTATATCTTTAGGTTTAGAGAAGACATCTGGTAATGGTCCTTCCTCTCTACATATATTACTCTCTACTTCAAATCTTGTTTTATCATCAAACCCTAGTGGCTGACTAGCTTGTAGAGAAAAATACCTAAACAATAAATAAAATTACACTTTACTTTCAAATAAATGCCTAAAAAATACACAATTATCAAACTAACACTATCTTAAAACTCAATTTCTCGAATTGTTTTAGACAATAAACAAAATGAAATGGTGTTTAACCAGTTTATTGTTCAATATTTCTGCACAGACTGGGTTAATGAAGACAGCACATATGCCATACAGTGTTCTATGAGGGAAATTTTTTCCATACATCTAATTATCAAGGGGGGGGGGGTTGTGCAAGCCAATGTGAACACAGGACTTAAGTTTTTTGTCTCAACCAAACGACTATATGTTGGTCCTTGCCAGGCCCAACATCCTGCACCAATGACAAGGATTTTCATTAGCATTCATAAGAGAAGTCCTAATCCTTAAAACATGGGCAACCATTTTATTTTACATTTTATTCCCTTAAAGACTCATATCAGCAAAAAAAGCATCACAAGACTTACTTATCATAAAATACCATAGCATCACTTTGAGCCTGCATTCCATCATATTTTCCTTGTTGGGAAGCTAAATGTTGTTGAAAATTATCTACAGCCATCCAAAATTGTAAAAGGTGGCTGGCATCTTCCTGTTCTAAAAACTGAAATTATCAAAATGAAAATACTAATTTTTGGGTGAAGCCTGTTTGATAATATTTCTTGAGGTTGACAATGACCTGTAGTAACTACTAGTGACACTATTCTGTCCGGTTTCTTTCTTTCAAAATGGATCAAGAACCCTAGCTAGTTTGTCTTTGGTGAATTTTTAATTTCCCTTTTTGTCCTCTGCATACAATTCTAAAAAAATGATTAGGAATTATAAATAAACAATGTCATGTTGATATGAAAATAGTGATTACCTCTGTCAAGTAGAATAGAGCCATCTCATTATATAAAATATCAGCTAAATACACTTTACCACTAGTTAAAATATCAACTTGATGTTTACAATGATATTCACTACCCTGAAATGCTGGAAAATAACTGAAACAAAGAAATAAAAAATTTTACTATATAATCACAGACAAATACATTTTTCATTATATAATATTATAATGAAAGGGGCATAATACTAAAACTCAATTACATGTACCTGGTCATTGTTACTTTTATAGATATGTCAATATTGATATTGCAACAAAGCCATAGTGTCACACAGTTTAAAACTTGCCATCTAAACTTACCATTTGGATGCACATGTTATTAACTTCAAAGAATATTGATATTGCAACAAAGCCATCATGCCACACAGTTTTAAAATTGCCATCTAAACTTACCATTTGCATGCACATGTTATTAACTTCAAAGAATTATAACATAAATTTCATGCAATGTGAATGGGCAAACTTTTGCCTTGACAGTTGGGATGCAGATTACTCTTATTTCCAATTCAAATTGTCAAGGGTTCTTTTACGTGCACACCAATGTGTACACAGGACCTCATTTTTTTGTAAAATCTGTTTGGCTAGACGCTGTATGACTAAGGGACTTTATCGGCCATCACCGGGATCGGACCCAGGACATCTAGGTTAGCGAGCCACCGCCTCACTCCCCAATTGAACCAAACGTGTCAAACTATCAAATGGTGCAGCACATAATGGGACATAATTTAGTTCATTTCAATACGAAAACTAGCAAGATTAAATTGAAATGAATAAATAAATAGGCAGTATTATGTCCCTTTATATGAATCATACCCACAAGAAAACATAAATAACATTAGGAACTCTTTGTTAACAATACTGAAGAAATAAACTTTTGTAGCTATGATTGGATGGGTTTCAATTTGAAATACCAGTATTCAGAATACCAGTAATATCTTCACGTTGGATATATTTATAATAAGGTACATATTGTACATATTTTGTCTTGTTTCCGCATTCTTATAAAATTATTCACTTACTTTTTTTGCATAACATCTACAGCAAATTTTTGACATTTAGTAAAACAAGTAGGGTCCACTTCTCCATCTTCACGGCAAATATAACCTTGAAAGAAATTGATATATTGTATAACAATTGGATAAAAAAAAACTTCTGCTGAATAAAAGATGAAAATACCAGTGTGAGACTACTGTACATCATAAATATTTTCAATTTTTATTTGGCATAACTGTAGTTATTGGTTTATTCACAAAATAATCTTGACTTTTGGCGGGGAGAGGTTCACGTTTGTAAACTTACTTATTGTTTCATTTCGAAGTTCATCTGACACTCCAATTGGGTGGGTGGCATCTTGGGATATGTATTTAGTAAAAATATTTACAGCATCACGTTCTATACCTAAAAAGGAAACATTATTAATAACAGCAAAGAAAACTTCATGATGTGATGAAAATAAATATAATGGTTTAAAAGGAAATTTAAGCGAAACCCATCATCTAATATCCATACAAAGAAATGAAATGAAATGAAATAAAATGAAATGGGTTTTAACGTCCTACTGTTCTGCTCTGAACTGGGCTAATGAAGATGGGCATACACAATACAGTGTGCTATGAGGGAAATTATATCAAATTCCAACTGCCACGGGATCTTTTACGTGCACGCCAATGTGTACATGGGACCTTGATCCATACAAAGAAGTAACATACCCCATTACATTAAAATCAGATGAAAAATCTAGAACTATATAGATGATTAATGCAATGGGGTTTAGCATCCTACTTTTTTAATCCAAGTGAGCCAGGGCCTGTGAGAAGGGGGGGGGCAGCGGAGACACTTGTCCAGGGGTCCGGAGTCTGGAGGGGCCCGAAGTTATGTTTTTGTTTTTTTAAATTGTTGGTATAAATGAACAAAAACAAGCCAACAGTGAGGCTGATGTCCCCACCCGAATTCCATAAATAAATAGATGACACATATTGATTAAATGCACATTTTACTTTATCAAAACGATTAAGCAATCAAACTGATTATCTATACTTAGGCTAAGCATAAAATGTTCATGATCAAAGAACTCGGTAGTGAAACTATACACTAAGTATGGTCACAGTATTTGTTTTCCATTTGTTGGCTTGCTTAAAATTTCCTGTCAAAATCATGCACATTTGATTATTATTACATCAGTATGTCTTATGTTGATGTGTTAAATCTCAGTTTCTGTATTATAGCAAAGTGACCTCCAGATACCCCCAGATGTACGCCAAAATGACGCTAAAGACCATGTATCTTTCGTAATTTCTGAGTTGCTTGTCCCACGGCCTGGAGTGCCCTGTTGCAGGCCCTGAACTGAGCCAATGAAGACGAGCTCGAGCTATGAACCATGCAGTGTGCTATGGCCTACTCTTATATGTATTTTAAATGCCTACTTTCAAGGGTTCTTTTATTTTCACGGCAATAGCGCAATTAGAATTTGCCATCGATTTTTAAGGCAGATCTCGAACGGGCACACTTAGAGATAGTATAGAGAGTGTATGTTATTCTGCGAGTAAATTACCTCAATCATGTGACTTGTTCTAAATGGTGACTCGCCGAAATCGTAAGACTGCTCTTGTAGCTTAAAATAAAACGCAGAATGCCTAGAAGGGCTCGTTGGACAAATTGAAAATTGTGGTACAGGAGTTAGATACCATCTTTCGGCAGTGGAGGCAGACATCTTGAGATCAATCATGTCTAAGATTGGCTTATAAAAATGGTTCGTCTGACAATATATGCTGGACACGGGCACACACACGAATTAGATCGCCGGCGAAAAATATTCGGCCAAAACTATCTAACAAGCTAGATATGAGTGATTGATTGGGCGAATGGTTCACAGAGCAGAATCGTTGTCGCCATGAAGGGGCACACAGGCAATTTTTTGACTGATTTTAAAAATCGGCGCAATCGGGCAAAAAAATACGTTCCTCTGCCCCCCATTTTACTTACTCAGCCACTGTAGCTCTCAAATGGTATATACACATCTCCATATACAAATTCAAACTAAAGATAAATGAAAGCTAATGACTTACTCTTTTTTAATTTTTCTTTCAATTCTTCTATAGAAAGTGATGGCTTTGGTTTACGTGTTTCATTAACCTCAACAGAAGTTGGAATATTGGATTCAGATGCATGTCTATGTTTTGGACTTGAACCCGAATTTTCATTGGTTTTATCAGATGCATTGGGTTCTGAAAGATGTCTGTTTTTTACACCAGTTTTATCACATGAGGATTCGGAAGAGTTTGGATTTATAGCACTTTGACTTAATTGAACACTAGTATCACCATCTTCATCCTGTGTTTTAGTCAATCGTTCATTAACTCCACTATTTTCCGTATCACTTTTATTTGATTCAATGTCAACACACCCTGGATTTTGTTCAGATGGTTTATTTATATTCTCTCCTTCACCCACAACAACTTCATGATGTGATTCGATTTTACCAGAATTTTCACTAGCCTGAACAACACTATCGGGTATTTTCTGTCCATTAGCTCCTTCCCTATTACAATTTTCTTCCACGTTTTCTAAATTTGACTTTGATGTCTGGTTCTGTTGGTTACTGAGAGAAGTCGAGCTACCTGATTTAAAAGATTGTGTCCGTTTTCTAGTGAGTGTGGCAATTTGAAAACTTTCGGCATCCAACCAAAATCGTATAAAATGATCAGCTTTCTTGGTTTCCATAAAACTAATAAATAAGGGTAATGCATCTCTATCATGTATTATTTCTGTCAGGGCTTTTGACAAACGTGAAGTAGTTCGCATGGGTGATTGGGGTTCTGTAATTCCTGAAATAAAAAAATCCATATTTCACTAACATCCATGAAGCCGATATTGCCATTATTAGTGATGTTGAACTTTTCTATTTCACTGTTTTAATTAGTTTCATGATCAAGGAGCTTAATGTTCATACTATATATGTGTGAGAGAGAATCAGTTAACCTGTGGTTGTCAGTGTGAGAGGACATACATGTAGCATTGTGTTGTTGTAATAGTTAGTTGGAACAAAACATTCTCAGACTTAAGTTAAGAATTTACCCAAACTTCTTATTATGTACATCAATAAGAAACAGTGATTAAAAGTTGAGTAAATTCTTAACTTAAGGGGGCATTATGTAAGATTAGATAAGGAGCCGACAGTTCTCGCTATAACGAAAAGGGAATGTGTTGAAAATTTCAGTCAAATTACTTCAATTCGAGCCGAGATATCGCCATTAGAAGAACAGTGTAGCCTCGATCATCATTGCTAACGTTGTTACGATAACAAAAAAAGTCTCGATTATCCATTTTTAAATTATATCATTAAATGGCAGAACCTTTTTAATCTACTTCCATCCAATGGCATCAAGAGTTGATTATGGTCTTGTCATGTAATTATGTCTAATTAATAATTCATATAACATCTAAGGCCTCAAGAAAGACCTGCAATAGGCAGATTTAGCTCTTGCATAATGTCTGTTTATGCCTGAGAATACTTTGTGAAACCGGGGCTGATACTTCACACCTGTCATCCAAATTATATAAATAGGATGAAAGCCTATATAATAACTACAGTGGAGTCTACCTAAATGTATTATCTGAAGGAGCTAAATTGGCGCTCATCTTTTCCCGGTAAGATCACAACATCAATGTTGATTTAAATTGACAAATAATTTGCGTTTTCAATGTCAAAGACTGCGGATGATATTGAGTTAAAGACTTAGCTACTTTAAATGCAGGTATGTGTCAAACAATACCAATGGTCAAGATGCCTTATCAAGAAAATAAAAAATGTCCTAAAATGACTAAACATAATTATATATGAAATATAAATCATCAAACTGTCCCCCTTACAAGGTGAAGAAATGAATATCAGTTAATTATGTAAGATATATATACACTCCACATTACATAAATAGTACATGTATAGGTCATCATAAGGTAATTAATCATTGCATGGTCACAACTGACATACTGACATTTGCTGGAAGCTTTTGATATGGTATAGATAGATTGTATATTTGCTTTAAAAATATATAATAGAATTGCCATGCAAGGAATATAGTCAAATATACCCACTATTACCCACCATCAGCTTTGTGTCAAACTCAAATAAGGTTTTGATGATAGGTGCATTATCTCCATATAAAATCAGTGTGTAATTACAGAGTCTGAATTTACATATGGTACAACTAGTTAAACAATCCTACCAAGTTTGAAAAAGAAAATGTCTCAAAAATTCCAAATTGTGGTGCATTTACATGGTTTCACTGACAAGGAGAATAACTCTGTAAAAAAAAGAAATGTGTCACTAAACTTTGACTAGGTTCCTCGTCAGGTCATCGAACTAGCTGAATAATCCCACAAAGTTTTTAAAAAATTTCTTAAAATCTCTTATACTTATAGGGTGTTTACAAGAATTTGGAACACTGACTGGTGAACTGACAGGAGTCATTCCATGTCAAGTGGACCAAATTTCGAAAAGTTGGGGACAGGACCCTCTCCAAAAAAATTATAAAACATATATGTTATAGTATATGGCCTTAAGCTAACAAGTCAGATTTGTTATTTAAGGCCATATACACTATAACATATATTTTCTATAATTTTTTTGAAGGGGGGCATGTTCCCACCATTGGAAAAGTTGATATGGAATGACCCAGAGGCAACAACTATACCCTCACATTAAATGTGGGCTTACAAAAATATAAAATAAATATTTCATGTTTTAATATGGTACAAGTATCTGGTTTGGGATCTCCACAAATACTCTGCTTCATGTAGAAAACAAAACAAATAAACATTTCAGGCCTTGCTTTACATCCCAAAATGAACAGTAAATCAGTAAATAATATCTTTTTAAAATTTTAAATTCTAGTTTTCAAATTCTTATTAAACTTTAAAGCCATACCCAAATCACCCCTTTCTTCAAAATCATCAGACAACAGTAACACCGGTGGACCTAAAATCAAATATATGCATAATTACTTAACCATAGTAAAAATAGATCAAACATGAGAGAACAACACTATAAATTATTGTATTTGAAAGCGTAACACATACATGTACTTTGTGAAAACAGATGATACCACTGATAAATTGTAATGACTTGACAATAAATTTAGATGTGGGGCACTAACAAGTAACATGTGATCATTGTAGATTTTACAACAGTTGTGCATATACCATGCTGTCAATGTTCCCCTTTGCAAGTGTCTAGACTTCTTTGATGTGTTAAAAATAAATTTGTTTTTTCACTAAATTGTATACATGTATGTTGATCAGTTCTGTTGGAAGACAATATTGTCCTTGTTCAAAATTTTACATCCAAGGATAGAGCCAGCCGTGAAGTATAATGGAAATTATTATCCACTATGAACATAAATGAAATGAAATGGGGTTTAACATCCTACTGTTCTGCTCCAAACTGGGTTAATGAAGACGAGCATACGCCATACAGTGTGCTATGAGGCAAATTTTGCCCGGGGCCTACTCTTATATCGAATTCCAACTGTCAAGGGATCTTTTACGTGCATGCCAATGTGTAAACGGGACCTCGGTTTTTCATCCCATCTGAACGGCTAGACAGCTGTCCTTGTCAGGCCCCCCGTCCTGCATCACTGACAAGGGGGAATCACGCTAGAAAATCTGGATGAACTTTCTCAGCCAATGCAGGGATCGAACACCCGACCTCCAGGCTAGCAAGCCAGCGTCTTACCCACTTAGCCACCCGATCCCTAACTCTCTATGAACATAAGTACTAGTACATCGAATATTACAAATCAAGCTGACTTACAATTAATCTTTCAAAACAAAAAGCTTGACCCATCCATAACTGAAGTAACACACAGTTTAGTAATATATATTACTGATATATCTCAGTTATGGATGGGTACAATTTTTAACAAAGACAAACTTTCACTCGACAAAATAAATCAAAAAGACAATGAGCTAAAGTCATTGCAATATTGAAAGCAAACATAAAGTTATGATTATTAAGGCTACATGAAGGCTACCGGTAATATATATTCTCACCTCCATTACTATCTGGACTACCTAAACCAGTTGAGCTCCCTGTACTAACTGATGATGGTGTTCTTTTAACTGTTGATGTCTTCTGTGACCCAGAATTACCGGCTTGGTTTTTATCTATAATTGATATGATATACATGAGGATGTATATTATGATATTAAATGTAGGCCTATGTACCATAAAGTGCATGGTATCATATTTCAATTTAAAGTAGCTAAGTCGTTAACCCAATATCACCCGAAGTCTTACACGTTGAAAACATGAATTGTGTACCATAGTACGTTTCAGCATCATTTGTAACAAGTGAACAGAAAGAATGAGGCTAGACATATTCCACAACTCATGTCAAAAGGTGACGCCATAACTTATCTGGAGAATATGCGCAATAGACTGGAATAACCAGACGATAGGAATTTCTATTTGGTTGAGACTCATGCCGTATTTCGCTGGACATACCGGTAACTGATTTGAAATTAGAGTCAAAACGGAAACAATTGAATGTAAATCAGTTCATATACAATCAGATTACATTATTATATGCGTTGAGACCCATTTGGCTCAATTTCTAGGTCCCAAATGTTAGCGATTTAGCTCCTTTAAGTACATTAGCTTTTAACATTTCCACTGGTATTCAATTAAATCAGTGCAAAGATCGGCGCTATTGCACTTTCGCACCTCTACCAGTTCCGGTTGTCGTAGAGACTTAAAATTTTCAGGGGATGTTAAGGATGACTAGCAATGACCGCGCAAAGATCTACCTTATTATAACTACTAGGCCTAAATGAATCATAAACGCAACAGGAAATCGTTTTAAATCTAGTTGTTGCTGAATCTTACGAGAGGTTTAGAAAGCTTCAAACAGTAGGCCTAATGATCGATTGCGATCATTTTGACATTTTGGTAACATATTATCAAACACAAGAAAAACGTATTTCATAACGACAATCAAATCAAGTTCGGTTAGCGGTGTAGCACTGACAGTCCGGAGTTTGTTACAGTGACATCTAACATAACAAACAACACGGCAACGCCTACTTTCCTGCCAATGTGACTCTTGTTTAAAACATACCTGTTTTTCTTCGAAAAAATGGCATGGTAACCTTGCCATCAACTTATAAACAAAATTCATGCCTTGTACTAGAACTTGTTGGTTGTTTCATTGAACAACATCGTCTTATGTACTATTAATCCGGTTTTATTTTCATAAGTCAATTTCCGTTTTCCAGGAGGCGGCCATCTTTTTCGTCAGTACGAAAATGCCGCTTATGATCTAAACAATGATACATTTCAGACATTGAATATCAATTAATAGTTAAAGTTGACCAAATTATCATTAAATACACATTTCTCATTTAGTTCTGTAAAAACGTGGCTACGTTATGGATCAAGTTTAGTTACAAGTCTAAGACATAAGCGACTACCATTACACGGACTACAAAGGGCCCGGGGGGCTTTACTAGCCTAGTATGTCTATGGCCAAACTTCGTCTGTCACTGAACTTTGTAGCAGTGGCTCCCAGTTTACCCCAAGGTGCATTATGTAAGATGTATATAATGCAAGTATGTCCTAGCTATAATAGTTCAAAAATAGTTAATGCAAAATCATGGATCTTAAAGTATTATAAGCAGGGGCGGATTGCATGGGGCCGGGAACCGGCCCGGGCTCTCGTGTCGGTGCGGCCCCTTTTACTGACCGCGGAGCCCAGACGGGTGGTTCGGGGGCTCTCCCCCGGGAAAATTTAGAAAAATGAACCCCAAATATGCGATTTGGTGGCATATATCTGATTATAATCTCTGTCAAATAATATATCTCATAAATCGATTAATTTTGGCCAAAACCCCGACCTGCAAGTAATTTACAACCATCAACCTGTGAAATTATCATATCGTCATATTATGCTGGATTCCGAATTCCGGCCCACACCCAGCACACCACACTGATCATCAGTGAATTTTTCATTTATTACAAAAATAAATAAAGACGGTACGTTTGAATTGTTTGTAGGTAAAAACCATTTCCTATTTAGTGTAAATGGGTATTAAAATAAGTAAAATTCACAATTTAGCCCGAATCAGTAACGTCTTATGTAAACAATGCATGCGCTATTGAGCCAATGATTGACGCCGCGTGATGTGACGTCACGTGCCGAAACGGTCATCTGTAACAGAGATATTAAAAGATCTCTGTGAAACAGATTGCCAGCACACCCGGTCCAGAAAGTCTATTATACCAGCCCATTCCAGACTCCAGTGATGGCGTGGCGGCCCGTTAAAGCCACTGGCCACACACAACATGATCATCATCGCTCTATGGCCGGTCCAATACCCCCCCCCCCCCAAATATAACGTTCAGCAGAAAAAGGATTTTTAGACGAATTGGAAAAAATTATTTTTTTCATTTTTTGTCCGACCAGCCCATCGCGATCGTCCGATGGCCCAATCCGCCCCTGATTATAAGGTCCATGGCAAAATGAATATATTTTTGAAAATTTCACTCGGATTACTTAATTCTGAGCGACGTTATCACTATACCTGAAGTTTTAACAAGATGTGGCAAAGATTGTTTATTAATTATCGCAACAACGTTACTTGTTATTTGAGACTAAGCCTGAATTTGCCATTTTTATACTCCGACATGGAAATGTGGTCGTTACTCGTATATTGCTGTCGCCTCCGACAGACTGGCCGGCAGTCCGTTCGTCTGGCCGACAGTCCGCCCGTCCGTCCATCGGTCCGCCCGTCATCCACTTGTGAAAACACTCTACAAACTAAATTTATTTTCTGATAAGTTTGAAATTTGTTTAAATTAGTGAGACAAAGAGGCCCATTTAATTTCAACAATTTCCGTTAATTAGGGGAGAGCGGGGTCCGACGGGCCGATTTTTTTTTTATTTTACAGATAACAAATCAACGAGGATAACTAATCTTTGCAACTTCATTTATCAGATACTAACCTATACACATGCAGAGTTTATACCTTAAAGAAAAGTGAAATTATGCCTATTTTTCTTCATCACTCAGGATCATGACCCATATAACGGACCTAAGGGTGTGGGTCGGATATGGACCGCCCGGGGACCGTTCAGTAGTTATAATAAGATATATAAACATTCAAGACCACAGTTTTCGATCAACCAGAATTCAGGAAATTTCTAATTTTATTGGTTCGGGAAGCAATGGCTACTATATTTGAGCATATTACAGTGTCAGTATCTTTAACTATGAATGCACAAATAAATGATGTGCTGTTTGGCGCTTGTGAAAAAAAAATACTTCAAAGCCACTATTTTTATCACCATTCTTGATAATACTAACGTAGTCAAGGGTGTGTGTGTGGAGGGGGTGGGGGGCTAAGGGGGAGAGGTGTGCAAATGGGGAAAACATGCATGTTAGATCCATAAGGTCTGTCATTGAGTCAAGTAGCATCTTTTGATTCCCGACTTATACGTGGGAAGTAGGGTCGCCTTGTTTCGGCATCAAACATTCTCGTCTGTCGTTCTCTTTCTATTTCTTGGAACTCTAGATTAAAATTTGAAACCTAATCGTAAGCACAATTTTCATAAAAATATGACCTGGACCTATGGATCGTGCCTCTGGGGACCCATGGGCCATGCACATAGGAACCGACCTGCAAGTGGTCCATTGGTCCCCACAGTATTTAAACATGCATTATGGGAGATTCGATAACGAGTTGGCAGTTCTCACTATAATAATTACAAACTAGATAACGTAAAGGCAATTTGCTGAAAATTTCATTCAAATTGATCCACTATGAACCGAGCACTAAGCGAATAAAATTTCTGCCTAGCCTCGGTCATCATTACTAAATTCAGTGTGTTAAACAGCATAGTCTCGATTATCCAGTTAATCATTTAATCGAGAAGGAAAGTTATGCAGTAAATCGGATCACAATCCACTTAAGATCGCAGGCTAGCTATGCCATCTAGAGTTGATTAATGGTCTGGATAAGTTAATTAATGTCTAATTAATAATTTAGATAACATTTCAGGCCCAAAGAAAGACCTGCAATAGACAGATTTAGCTCTTGCATAATGTAGGTTTAAATATATATTTAGCTTTATTAACTGTAGAGTCAGCCACCGTGGCATTTGATTTTGAGTGCAAAGCCTAGATAACTACTAGGCTTATATGTTGGTGTAAAGCACATCTTGATGACACTTTATTACTTTGGGACATGAAAAATATTGCAAAATATAACGAAATAAGCTTTTACTATGGTTAAATAAACTTGTGAGGCTGTGAGGCATTAATGTGTTGATAGCAGTCTAGGCAAATCAGCAATGTATTCTAGGTTAGATAAAGGTTACATAAATTCAATTTTTCCATTCACATATCTGATACAAGGGGTGGCTCATCGGTCCCATATGCTCATTGGTCCCCACTCTCCCCTACGTCTAGAATTATGGTCCTCATGTGAACGCTCTAATGACTAAAGTTATCATCCAATCTGTAATAAAGTTACATTTATTATTCAAATTAGTAAAACGAAGAAGCGTCTTGAATTTCAGGAATTTCCATTTATAAGTAATGGCCCTTATTTCACTTTGTTGAATGATGCTGTATTAAATTTGCATACATTATTTGAATTACTAAAATGAAGAAGTGCATATATCGAATTTCAGCATGTAATTTCCATTAATTACTTCTCGAGTTATGGCCCATGTTTGACTTTGTTGAACCATGTGAACGCTCAATCGACAAAAGTTATCGTCCAATATGTATGAAATTTATATGCAGTATTTAGATCACTAAAACAAAGAAGCCTATTGAATTTCAACAATTTCCATTACTTACTGCGAGACTTATGGCCCTTGTTTCACTATGTTGAACCTTTTGAGTGCTCTATATCGATAACAGTTCATCCAATCTGTATGTAATTTATCAGTAAAACGAATAAACCTATTGAATTTCAGCAATTTCCGTTTATAACTTCTCGAGTTACGGTCCGTGTTTTATTCCGTTGAACCTTGTGAATGTAAGTTATCATCCGATCTGTTTGAAATTTATTTTCATTATTTAGATTTGTAAAATGAAAAATCCTATTGAATTTCAGTAATTTCTGTTAATAACAGCTATACGCCTTTGTTTCACTTTGATTCACCATTGATCTGTATGAAACTGATAGGGCCTATCAGTGTCTTGCTCCTATTACCTACAAAGCATAAATATACTCTTTAAAAAAAGTAGGGGATATTGAAATGCAAATACCTATGCAGGTTGTGATATGATAAATAGTCATAGACACTCGACAAGCTTTGTGAGTACATGTATGTTCACAGATGAAGACGGGGATCACGTGGCTAAGTGAATAAGGCACTGGATCGCTAGCCTGGAGGTCGGGTGTTCGATCCCTGCATTGGCCGAGAAAGTTCATCCAGATTTTCCGACGTGGTTCCCCTTGTCAGTGATGCAGGACGGAGGACCTGACAAGGACAGCTGTCTAGTTCTCGGATGAGACGAAAAACCGAGGTCCCGTGTATACATTGGAATGCACGTAAAAGATCCCTTGGCAGTTGGAATTCGATATAAGAGTAGGCGATAGTGCCGCTGCCCGGGCAAACTTTCCCTCATAGCACACTGTATGGCGTATGCCCGTCTTCATTAGCCCAGCATAGGAGCAGAACAGTAGGACGTTAAACCCCATTTCATTTCATTTCATTTCATTTCACAGATGAAGAACTTATCGCCCCAAAGACCCACTGAGCTGCATGTGCGACACGCAATAGCGCCATACACGCGGGAGGGGTTCATTGTCAAATTTTGACACTTCAAGGAAAGGTTGATGAAAACTGAGCACTGCTTGCTGGTTTATCCTATCCATGTTTGCTTTCCTATCGGTTCTTGCATAAGATTTACTCTTTAGCTTATCTTTGCTTTAGTGTGTTACGTTTAATTTGACCAGGAGACTTGTTCGTCAACGTCAACCGACAACACTGCAAGAATTGGCTGTGGCACTGCAAGAGGAGTGGGTTAGATTGCCCCAAATCGTGATTGGATGGTTGATTATAGGAGCATGCCCCGACGAATTGCTGAATGTCTGAGGATTGGTGGAGAAATTACTCATTATTAAGACAAAAATCAAAAACGTCCATTTTCACTTTTGACAGTGTATCTCTTTGCAGTGAAATGGGTCCGTCAGATAAGCCGACAACATGAACTATTTATGTTCATGTGTAGGCAATTGGCTTGTTATTAACATACACTGGCTATACCTCT